CTGGGTCTTTCCTGTGAAACACAACCATAATACTGTTCTCTGCCAGAAAAGAGTGATGTTAATAGAAGCAGAATGTTTTCTTCCCAAATTAGCTGAGGAAAGATGCAGCAGAGGACACTGACAAAACTACTCTAAGAGGTGGACTTAAGGCTCAGCCACTGGGTGGCTCAGTCAGTTAAGCATCTGCCTTCGGCTCAGGTCAGGATCCCAGGGTCCTGGGATCAAGCCATGCATCCAGCTCCCTGCTCAGCAGGGAGCCTGCTTCTCCCTCTCCCTCTGCCCCATCCCCACTTCCCATTTGTTCTCTCTCTTAAATAAATAAAAGAGAGGTGGGGGCGATTTTAACTCCGTATCAGAGATGTACAGCCAGGAGTCTAAGAGAGAGGCTGTCCCTCCCTCAGGTGGGATGGGGGTCTACCAGAATACAAGTCATAACAGAAAGGGCAGGGGTTGCAGCATCATTGATCAAAGCCGGTTGCTGCTATTAGTTTGAATTCTCCTCGGGACCTCTGAAGACGACACCCAAGGACAGAAGGGCCTGGTCCATCTCAGAAATAGGCAGGAGGTGGGGGTGCAGAGAGGGAGGAAGGCAGACAGAGAAGGAGAGAGGGCATGAAGACAATGAGGTAGTAGGAAGGAAGCGCAGAAGGAAAGACAAGACACCCCAGGCTATCAGCATCGCAAGCTTCAGACAGACCAAAGAACTAGTTTCATGGCTTCCAAATACAAGCAAAAAGTCACTCCCATTGAAAGGTCTTTATTTATAGTTCAAATTGAATTACAGTAATACTAAAGGCAAATTTGAAAAGTCATCATATTCTTGGTATTCTAGCAAGGGCACTTTCAGTTCTCCAATTGCCTTGCTGTGTTTTTAATTCAGTTCCCATCTTCACTGAGCGTGCTCTCTTCAGGCACAGGTGCAAGGACAACAAGACCGGCTTCTCTCACTAAAAGGGCTCAAACACATTCACATCCTAAGGTGACTCATAGTCACTTGAATGATATACTCTTTTCTTTAAAAGACATTCTCAAGCCATGGAATGTCATTTGTTTCAAGTGTACCAAAAGCAAATATGTTTAAAAAAAAAAAAAAAAAGCAAGAGGGGTGCCTGGGTGGCTCACTCAATTGGGTGTCTGCCTTTGGCTCAGTTCTTGATCCTGGAGTCCTGGGATTGAGCCCCTATTGGGCTTCCTGCTCAGCGGGAAGTCTGCTTCTCCCTCCCGCTCTGCCCCTGCCTCCCAAGTTGGGCTCTCTCTCTCTCTCTCTCTCAAATAAATGAATAAAATCTTTAAAGACACGGTAAGAAATTCTCTAATATACTGAAGACTCAAATGTGTTTGGCTCAAAGTATAGGAAAAAAGCATGTCAAAGTTACTCCTGAAAGCATCACTTAATTTAGGTATAGTAGAATCAAATGTTATTAGAGTTCAGTTTGCTTCCCCTTTTATAGTTTTGGAACAATCATATAACATGGGTGATAATACTTCAATATACTTAATACTTAAGAATGATGAAAGAAAGGCATTATCTAATGAAAAAAAATAAAATATTTACACATATATATTGTGATCAAAGACATGTATAGGTAGGAGAAGGGATCCTAAAGTTATTCAAGATCTAATATCTTTATTCTTATAGTAGTTTTACAATTTCATAAAAATCCAAGAGAAGGCTATCTTTCTTATTTAAAATGTAGACAACTAATAAGAATACAACAATAAGAGGAATATATAACTTTGTAACTATTCACTCCAATAGTTAATCATAAACAAAGCCTTTCTGAGTTAACTTTTGTGTCTAATGTGTGGGCAACGACTTAATAAGCTAATGATGGGATTTTAAAAAATGCTTTCAATAAATACATACAGTCTTGGTAGACAAACTGACTTTGTACCATATTTTTAAAAGATTTTATTTATTTATTTGAGAGAGACAGAAAGAGAGAATGTGAGCATGAGAGTGGGGAGGGGGCAGAGAGAAAAGTCTACTCCTGGCTGAGCAGGGAGCCCAATGAGGGCTTGAATCTGGGACTCTGATCATGACCTGAGCCAAAGGCAGATGCTTAACTAACTGAGCCACCCAGGCGCCCCCTGAATTTGTAGCCATTCTTGCATACTACTGTTAGATATTAGCCTGCACTTAGGGTCACCATATCTGTCCCATTCTGCATACATTTGCTGACAATGCTATTGTTAGTTTACCATTGCCCCTGAGGGCTACCATTTGCTGAGTGCACTATGTGTCTGGCATAATGTATTTTACAGTCGACAACATGTGGGTTAGGGGCACCAACCCCCATGCAGTCAAAAATCTACATATAACTTCTGTCTCCCCCAAAACTTACCTACCGATAGGCTGCTGCAGGCTGGAAGCCTTCCTGAGAACATAAATGATCGACTCACCGCATTTCATATGTTACACATATTACATACTATATTCTTAAAATAAAGCAAGTTAGAGAAAAGAACATGTTAAGAAAATGATAAGGAAGAGAAAATACATTTACAATACTGTACATATGTTTATGGAAAAAAAATCTGCATATAAGTAAACCTACACAGTTCAAACCCACGTTGTTTAAAGGTCAACGGTATAGGACCACCTCTTTTCATGCTTCTAGGAACCATGAGAAGTGAATGTGATTATCTCTGCTCTGCAGAAGGGGATTGTAACAAAAGCTACTAAGCATCCCGCATGCACCCTTCTATGTTGCAGCTCACTCATTAAATGCTCACAATAATCCTATGAAATGGCACTGCTATTATCCTGACTTGACAGATGAAACACCGGGGCACAGAGCAAACAGCTTTCCCAGCATCACATACATTACATGGCAGGGCCTAGATCCTCAGAACACCAAAGCCACAGTCTTATCCACCGACCCCAAAGAATTTGGCTCTCCACGGCTGCCCTCCATCCCGCCTAAGAGAAGGGCTATGAGAGCAGATAGGAAAGGGGCCAGGACTGGTGCGGTCAGAGCTGAACCCCCTCATCCACAAGCCAACTCTTAAATTTGGCTGGGACCCACCCCTCAAGTTTCCCTGAAGAAACTCACAACAAGGAAACCGAAATCCAACCTCAAAGCTGGCACAGCTCAATGGTCCCAGGAATACGTGACCCAAAGTCCAGGGCTTTTAACTGACCGGAGCACAAGGCATCACAGAATAAGAAGCCTTCCTCTGAACAAATGCCCCATGTCCATTCAATGGTTACCAACGTCTTACCTACTATGGCCCACTAAGTGCCCAACCACACTAGGCTCTCAGTTAAGCCAGGGGCCCACCTCAACAGCTAACTGTACAGGGAAACAAACAACATGAGATACAGACTGTTGGGATCATGGCCAAGTGTGCTCAGATACCGTAGGGGGCCTCAAGGAGGGAGAAGGTGGGGTCAATTCTAACAGTGTGTGAGGAGGTTAACGAAGCCTAAAGGAGAAGGCAGGTAGGGAGCTGAGTCTTGGAAGGGAGGCCAGGAAGTCTTATTCCAGGAGGAAGCCGGGAAACCATGGTAAGAAGGTAAGAAGCAGTCCCACTGGGAGGAAGACACCTGTGTTGGCAATGAGCTGACTCCCTTACAACTCCCAACCTAAAGACAGAAGCACTGTGAAGAAATGAGATGACTGTCCCAAGCATCATGCTGGAGTATATTTGCTACTGAAGATGTTTTCCGCTGAGAGAGAAGTTCCCCATTGCCACCCAAGGATCCAAGATGAGGGTGCTCACCTTGACCTGAGTGAGGTTCCCCAGGGAATACCGCAATGACTAATGCATTTTTTTAAAAGATTTTATTTAATTATTTGAGAGAGAGTGAAAGCAAGAGAGATCCCAGAAAGAGAGGGAGAAGCAGACTCGCTGCTGAGCAGAGAGCCTGACATAGGGCTCGATCCCAGGACCCTGAGATCATGACCCAAGAGGAAGGCAGATGCTTAACCGACTGAGCAACCCAGGCGCCCGGACTAATGCACTCTTAATGCAATGTGGCCCAAGTGACAGCTTGACTACAGAATACCAACATGAACCCAGCACACGGGAACGCTGGTCGACCCCACCTCACAGAAATTGCCATTTCAGTTAGAAGGACCAAGAAGGAGACAGAAATCAGGTGTTCTGTTCAGCAGAAATTATGAAACCACCTTTGCCCCTGATATTTTCGCCAGCTGGCTTTGAGCACCTATGACAGATTGAAGGCCTTTATTAACAATAGGAGTCTATGCAAGGAGACGAAAAGAACATGCTTGTGCCTCAATTTAAGCAGTATTATTTCTGGGGATCATCTTTTGTATAGATAGTCGTATTCTATGTTATAGATCTGTGACATCTCACTTTTGTGCAACCTATGCATTATGTGAGTGATTGCACAGAATATAGCAAATCTCCCGACATCTGAGAATGTTTGTGAATTCACTAGACAGGAGATAGTACACTGCTGCGGCTTTACTTATCCTGGGGAGCGACTGCTGATTCCAATAGTTCAAACTGGGGAGGTTAAATATCCACAGAATTCACAAAAAAGCCACTGCAAGTAAACACCCAGGCGACTTCAAAGAGGGCCGGGAGAGCCCATACATTTCAGGACCAGTGGGGTCAGTGAGAGCCAGGGGCAGGAGTTGAGGTCAGCCTCTCAGCCAGACCAGCAGACAGTGTGGTCCGGTGGGCAGCACGTTCACAGAACTTTCTCTGCCAATTCCTCTCATTCCTGCCAGGGCCAGAGAGACAGGGATGGAGCACATGTGCCCAAGAGAGTCAGCTGCAAGGAACAGACTTTGAAAAGAGGAATGGATGAATACTCAGAAAGAAAGGGGGCAGGGAGGGGTTAGGGAAGGGAGGGAGGAAAGAGGGAAGAAGAAAGGAAGAGAAAGGAACAGAGAAAGGAAGGAACGGGAAGTTGGAATGGAAAGGGTGGACATCTAAATTCTGCTCAACAAATAAAAGGTTGTACTTTATGATCATCAGGGTTACGCAAAAATCTAATAATAGATGTTTTCACATGGAATTACCTTTTATTTCCCTTTCAGACCTCCAAGAGTCCCGGTAACGTTCAATTCAAGATGCAGAAAGAACAGGGTAGGTGCTCTTGTTGTCCAACTGGGGATTTCTAAAGGGAAAGGACACAGATTAAAAATTATTCCAGAGAATAAAATTAATCCATTTTTAAAGGATCATTAAAAAGAGACCGATGTTGGGGCGCCTGGGAGGCTCAGTGGGTTAAGCCTCTGCCTTCGGCTCAGGTCATGATCTCAGGGTCCTGGGATGGAGCCCTGCATTGGGCTCTCTGCTCAGCAGGGAGCCTGCTCCCCCACCTCCCACACCCACTCTGCCTGCCAATCTGCCTACTTGTGATCTCTCTTTCTGTCAAATAAATAAAAAATCCTTTAAAAAAAAGAGAGAGAGAGAGAGAGAGAGAGAAAGAGGGAGACCAATTTGCCTTGAATGAGAGACAGTATATTTCTTCATATACCGGGGGGGAAGAAATCGAGCCCAAAGCCTCTTTCAAATATAGCCATTCTAGCCAACTTTAAGTTGATTCTAGGAGAAAACAGAAATCAACCATGGGGTGGGCTTTGCTTGTGCATTTATTGGAAAACAATCCCAAGGAGGCTGTGTACTGCTATCTGTACTGTGCTCTGTGCCCCTCCAATCACACAAACCCCCACGTGCCTTGTCAGTCCATCTAGGTCACAAAACCACACAGGACACAAGGTAGCCCCTCACCGACACTGACATCGCTGCGGAAGGAAACACACGTACTTCAGAAACTTTCTTAATGTTTCTAAGCAAATAAAATATTACAAAACAGGGACCTCAGCTTGTCTCGTTTTCCAAATGCAGTTATGCATGAGCTCACACACATGCCCAGTTCTGAGGCTTCTGAAGTCCTGAGGCTTCTCTCTCGGAGGCAGGACAGACCTCGGAGGCAGCACCGTCCCAAATTGTGAGCACACAATGTTTTGTGTTTAGGAAGGAAACAATTGACCAGGCATGTACTCAGGCTCAGAAACAACATGATTCCATTTTACAAATGGAGAGAGAAACTGAGGCTTTTTGAGGAAAGTCCAGTCCACAGGTCTTCTGACACATAAACGCTTTCATTGTATTTGGATTCATCCTGAAAGAATTGTTATCTGAATATCCAGCAACGCACCAAGAAAATACCATGGTGGAAAATCTAAACATCTTCTCCAGCATCTGCTTTCCTTGTATATCATCAATCCAAATAACTACGTCTTTGTTTACTTGAAAGTGGGAGCTAGAGACAGAGAAGGAAAATGCTCTGACTGCAAAAGGTATCTTTTCTTTTTTTTTTAAATTGAGATTTACTGTATATTTTCCATGGATGTAGTAGTAATCCACAGTAAAATTTTTAAGGAGGCACTTGTGACTTCGGCAAACAATGGCTTAGAACCACTTCACTAAGGTCAATGCCAATGTCCCAACCCTCATTATCTTCTTTGTGGAGTAATGTGTAATGAACGGTATGTCGGAAGTTTATTAGTAAGGCTGCAAATCTTGACCCAGATTTTGCAGAGCTTTAAAAAAAAGAAAAAGAAAAAGAAAGCCTGAAAATGTTTATTTAAATAACAACTAAGACTGATACTTCCCACACATTTAAAACTTTCAAAACAATCTTCTTTCCCCTGTCCCTGTACCTAACCATGTTCAGCAAGAATATAAAGTAACAATTAGCACCAGATTAAAATAGAAATATGCACTCCCAAGTTCTACAGTTCTTTTTGATTATTTACTACCTGCAATTTAAGGTTTTATCCACCTGCAGAAATAGAGGATTCCAGAATTCAAACGAATAAAATCATTTATATTTAATAAAGCATTAGAGAAATTTTTAATTAAATTGGGCCCAGAGGTATTTGAGATTGATGGTGACTCATAATAACAAAGTAAAAAGTTTTATATTTAACAATTTTTCCAAAGAGCATTTTTTGCTTTGCCCTAAACTGTATCAAAAATTCCTCTTAAAAAAAAATCCTTCTCATCTTTATCATTATTTTTGCCTTTTCCTTCTCACACTTTTGAAGAGAAAAACAACACAGAAGTCAGCTCTTCTTCTAATGACTGAGAAATGTCAAAGTCACATCATTATGATCGGGTTGAAGAATAATACCCTAAACGAATTTCAGGATTGGATTTTTCCTCAAAGTCGCCATGTGACGTTAAAGCCATCCTGATAGAAATAATTCACAGCACATAGTTTCAAGCTAGGATTGCGTGGTCAGGTGCTATAAATCCACTCCTTCCACATCTAAGGAAATGAAAGCCCAGAGTGGTGAGCTGACTTTTCCAAAGTCACACAGCTCAGCAGGTCCTGGACCTCAGATTTCAGAGATGCCAATCAAGTGCTCTGTTAGATCATAACTGGTCTTTACTTTCCATAAATAAACGCTTCAGAACTTGTAATTTCATCTGTGTTCTACAAATCTCTTACTCTACACAGCGTGAACACCACTCGGTAAGTCAACTTCACTTTATGTTAATATGAAACACTACTCAAAATTATCAAAAACATACTCTGCCTTTTGCTCCACTGGAAAAAAACAGATTAAGCCATTCATGCCCATGAGAAATCGGAAATAAAATTTGAAGAGAAAAACAACACAGAAGTCAGCTCTTCTTCTAATGACTGAGAAATGTCAAAGTCACATCATTATGATCGGGTTGAAGAATAATACCCTAAACGTATCTAACCTAGATACGTCTACTCTAAAAATAGACTTTCCCTCTCTTTCCCTCTCTTATTCAGTCAAATCATAATCATAGCTTTGCTACAACACATTTTCTAGAAGATTTTATAGATAGCTAGCAAGCAAAATGTAGGTGTTCTACAGTAAAAGCTTATATAAGCAGTTTGTAAAGTAAGAATTTCAAGATATTTCCCTATTAGATCCACCAGTTCAGACAGACCCCTTATTCTCTAAAATTCTGGAATCACTCAAGAGCACTTAATTTGCCTAGATCAGCAACTTATTATCATCAACAGTCATTTGTTGACTCCTCGATTATTCACACTGCACAGTGCCAGGTGCAAAGGAACCCAAAAACATGAAACAGTGTCCTCGCTCTCTGGAGGCTGATGAGGGAGATAATTAAGGAAGCTTTCACAGTGGCATCTGACTGAGTCAAGATTTGCACGTGATGAATGTATATGTGTGAACGTTTGCTTAGAGAGCTAGTTAATAGAATCACTCAGGTTTTCTCAGAGAATACGAGTTGACAGATTTTGTCAACAGAACAGTTGGCCCTTGACCAACATGGGTTTCAACTGTGAGGGTCCATTTATACCTGATTTTCTTTTTTTTAATAAAACAGTACAATACTGTAAATGTGTTTTCTCTTCCTTATGATTTTCTTAATAAAATTTTTGTTTTCTCCAGCTTATTTTACAGTAAGAATATAATATATAGTACATATAACATACACAGTATGTGTGAATTGACTGTTCATATTATAGGTGAGGCTTCTGGTCAATAGCAGACCATTAGTAAAGTTTTGGGGGAGTTAAAAGTTACACGGGGATTTTCTACTGCATGGAAAGGGATCAGCCCCCTCACTCCTGTACTGTTCAAAAGTCAACTGTATAGGTAGGGAAGCAGGGCAAGATAAATTAAAATAAACCAACAGATAACAGAAGACTCCCTCTAGTCATGCTCAAAACAGCAAAAAAATGGTGCAGGAAACAAAATCATCCTTTGAATGGGATTCCTTTCTTGAAAATAAGTTAGCAACAAAATACCTCCCTTATATTTCTTCATAATCACTCATTCATGGTACTAAAACTCAGTGCCAGACCCCCCCCAAAAAAAACAAAAAACAAACAAACCAAACCACTGGGGGAGGGGGCAACAAGATTTAAACACTTGCAAAAAGAAAAACAAATGTCAAGTAAGCACAGGAAGAGATATTCAATATAATTAGTCAGTAGGAAAATTCAAAGTAAAACCTTAACGAGATAACACTAAAAACTCACAAGAATGACTAAATTTAAAAGGGCAAAAATATCAAGTGTTTGTAAGGATATAAAGCAATTAGAAACCTTATACAATGTTGGCAGAAAATCCAAAAAGTCACAGGCACTTTGAAAGATAAATGGTGAACTTCCTTTTTTTTTTTTTACTTAAATTCAATTAATTAACATATAATGTATTATTAGTTTCAGAGGCAGAGGTCAGTGATTCATCAGTCTTATATAATACCCCATGCTCATTGCATCACATGCCCTCCTTAATGTCCATCATCCAGTTACTCCATCCTCCAAACACCCTTCCCCCTCCAGTAACCCTCAGTTAATTTCCTGTGATTAAGAGTCTCTGATGGTTTGTCTCCTTCTCTGATTTTGTCTTGTTTTATTTTTTCCTCTCTTCCCCTATGATTCTTTTTTTCTTAAATTCTGCATGAGTGAGATCATATAATTGTCTTTCTCTGTTGACTTCTTTCACTTAACATAATAACCTATAGTTCCATCCACATTGCTGCAAATGGCAAGGTTTCACTTTTTGATGGCTGCATAATATTCCATCATATATCTATCTATCGATCTATCTAAATCGATAGATAGATACACACCACATCTTCTTTACCTATTCATCTGCTGATGGACATCTGGGCTCTTTCCATAGTTTGGCTATTACAGACGTCGCTGTTACAAACATTGGGGTGCAGGTGCCCCTTCAAATCACTACACTGGTATCTTTGGCGTAAATACCTAGTAGTGCAATTGCTGGGTCATAGAGTAGCTCTATTTTCAACTTTTTGAGAACCTTCATACTGTTTTCCAGAGTGGCTGTACCAGCTTGCATTCCCAACAACAGCACAGGAGGGTTACCCTTTATCCACATCCTCCCCAACATCTGTTGTTTCCTGACTTGTTAATTTTAGCCATTCTGACTGGTGTGAGGTGATGTCTCACTGTGGTTTTGATTTGCATTTCCCTGATGCTGAGTGATGTTGAGCACTTTTTCATGTGTCTGTTGGCCATTTGTATGTCTTCTTTGGAGAAATGTTGATTCAAGTTTTCTACCCATTTCTTGATTGGGTTATTTGGTTTTTGGGTGTTGAGTCTGATAAGTTCTTGATGAATTTTGG